AAGAAGATCAGCCCCCCCAAAAACAAAGTATCTCTATCCTACTTGTTAGAGCAGCCACATCTGTTTTTTTAGGCTAGTATAGTAACCTGGAGGGAAAAAGACTTACTATAGTTGCTGTAATAAGTAGCAGAGAGGCGCTGTCTTGTGCAAATTGTTAAGCAGTTCTTCTGAACCACTGTTATATAATGGTTAATGTGTTAATATTCGATCTCACACAAAACACAGATTCCTTCCTTACCTCAGCAGGAGTATTAATATTTTAACTATTTATAAATCTCATTTAAATATTTTGTATATATCTGCTTGGATATAAAATGTGATATATTTTCTATATAATGTTTTGCTACATAAATACTTTGGATTAATAAAAATATAGTTGAGGACTTTGTTTATCTGAATTGTGCATTATTGTATTATAGTGTGTGCATGCTGTTTTTTCTACCTGCAAATCCAGGGCGTAATGGGACATAATATAATCACTGAAGCCATAACAGTTCCAATTATGTTGTATATATGTATGTCCTGTTTACTTAATAGCTTTCAATATTAAAAAAAAAATGTATCATGTCATTGGCAGAGAGGTACTGCCATTTTACATGTAGCATTATCTTTCTCGAACATGTACTTTTTAGGCAATATGACATCAAATTCAATAGATTAGAACTGAATATGTATATTTATACAAGATTTGTGGACCTGTTGGAATCTGGGTTCATTTCTAATCTAATCCTTGTCTTTTTGAATAGCAATACTAAGTCACTTAATCCATTCATTTGTCATCATTGCACTGGTAGCAGTTACTTAAGATTATGTGAAAAATAAATGTCCTTTTTAGCTATAGCTGTCCATTACCAGGATTGATTGTAACAGATCTACATGTCTATTTTACATTGTTCAGCATTGGAGCCATGTTTTCCCATGCTCATAATGCAAAAGCCTAAGTCTGATGGAAAGATTAATAATACATTTCCATTTTGGCACAGTGCTATATGTCAAATACTGGCTAAGATTTTAATAATCCCAGTGCCCAGATACAGCTTAGTACTTTATGAATAACCATGGTTTCTTGTAGAGATGAGGTATATTTCAATGTTTGAAGCTTGCTTATATTTGTGTTCAAAGTCACTATGCGCTTACTTAGAGTTTGGGGAAACAATTCTGAAATAGACTCATAAATGCTAAAGTGGCCAAATCATGCCGAGAAAATGCCATACTCCTCATACTGTTTTCACTGACTAATGATCCCTTCATTTATACCATCCCAGTCTTAGAGCACCAATACACAATTTAATTTTTTTAAACTTTTTCTCTCCCATTTTTTTCAAACCTAAAAGGGTTGTTCTAGAAAAGCTTAATACATTTTGGGTAGAAAAGTTGCTCAGAGAATAGTATGCACAAGTATTAATAATGTATTTACAATACTACAGATACATTCATAATACAGACAGTCCCCTACTTACGAACGGGTTATGTCCTGAGAGGCTGTTCGTAAGTCCAACAAGCAAAAAAAACCATGCACCATTCGCACCTTACATAAGCAGCAGCGTTGATGTAGGCGCTTGCAGCGATGGCATAGGCGTTTGTGGAGATGGTATAGTCTCGTCCTCTACTTTTTTCCACCTTCCTGAAGAAGTGGTCCAGTGAACTTTAGGTGGTGGTCTTCCTCTTCTCATAAATGATGCTGTAGTACTGGATTGCATCATGGACAGCTGCACACACCTTGGTGAAGCACGCCACATTAGGGTCCTGCATCTCAAACAGTGATAGTGCTTTCTCAGTCAAGCTGAACTGCTCCGCCGCCAACTTGGTCTGGAACTGCCTCAGTGGTTCGATCTCTTCCTCTTGTTTTCGCTGCTCGTCCAACTCCATGAGGTCTTCATTAGAGAGGTCCTCTGTGTAGTTAGCAGTTCACGAAGTCCCCCTCCTCCAGGTTGAGCTGAAGCTCCTTGCTGAGAGCAACCAAGTTGCCAATAACAGTCTGCGACTCCCTTTTTGCCGTCTCAAGCCCACAACAGCCTTGAATGAACTGAGGGCATAGATATTTCCACACCCCGTTCATGTTTGCAGGGGTAGCCTCACACCAGGCTGCACTGAAGTTCTTGATGGGCTTGTAGATATTGTAGGACTTCCAAAACTGGCGCAAGATCATCTGTGAGTCCACTTCGGTTGCCTGGACTGCCTGCCTAAAAGTGCGCCGATGATAGTATTTTTTGAAGGTTGCTATCGCTCCCTGGTCCATCGGCTGCAAGAGGGAGGTGATGTTGGGAGGCAGATACGTAACCTTCACATTTGGATGGAAATTGTCCAAGTAAGGAGGATGACCCGGGGCATTATCCAATATCAGCAGAATCTTGAACTCGATATTTTTCGCGTGGCAGTACCTCTCCACTTCCAGGATGAAATGATGGAAAAACCAGTCCTCGAATATGACAAGGGTGACCCAAGCTTTCTTGTTAGCCTTCCACATAACAGGAAGTGAGCTTTTTGAGATGTTCTTGAGAGCTCGTGAGTTCTCAGAGTGGTAGACTAGCAGCAGTTTTAGGCTCATGTCACCAGAAGCATTGCCATCTAGCAGCACAGTTAGCCTATCCTTCGTAGCTTTGAAGCCTGGCATGATCTCCTCCTCCTTGTTGATGTACATTCTGTCTGGCATTTTCTTCTTAAAGCCTTGTTTCATCCACACTGAATATTTCCTGAGGCAAATAACCATCTTCCTTGATGATCTCCTTGAGGGGTTTCCGGGAACTCCTTGGCTGCAGCCCCATCTGCACTTGCTGCCTCACCACTGACTTTCATGTTATGAAGATTCATACAAGCCTTAAAGCGGTGGAACCACCCATGGCTTGCAGCAAACGCCTCTTCAATATCTCCATCTTTATGAGCATCGTAATGGATTGCCACTTCTTTGCGCTACCCCCCTCCCCTTCAGGACTCTTGCGCTTAATTGCAGACATTTGCAGTTAAGCAATTTGTACAGTGGTGCCTCGGGATACGAACGCCTCTACTAACGAACTTTTCGGGTTACGACCAGCTCTGGCCGCAAAAATTTACCTCGATGTGTGAACTCCACCTTGGGGTACGGTCATTTTTCCGCCCTGACACGTGGCCCGCAGCCATTTTTCTGTCCCTGACACGTGGTCCGCGGCCGTTCTCCCGCCGTGCCGCGCCCGGCCGTTCTCCCGCCGTGCCGCGC